ATGTTACCAGAAAGGGACTGGCTGGAGTGTGTCTGTCTTGGATAGGCCGGTAGTGTGTGGGTTCTTCCTTTGTGCAGGAAAGAGTTCACAATATGAGTCCAGGTGATTTTGACAGTATGTGTATTAAAGCTGGGGACAGTGAAACAAGGAAGGGCTTAGGATAGAAGAAGCAACAGGAGAGAAATTAGGTGGGGTTGTTGTCAGGTCACTGAGAAGTTAGAGAAAAGGGGGCCTTGGAGATAGGTTCAGGGAGTTAGCCCAGGGCAAGCTGGAGCTGCCCATTGCTCCCTTGGTTGCAAATCTCTTGGGATCCCTTAGAGTTTAGGAGATGCATGCCTGTGAAACAAGGAAGGGCTTAGGATAGAAGAAGCAACAGGAGAGAAATTAGGTGGGGTTGTTGTCAGGTCACTGAGAAGTTAGAGAAAAGGGGGCCTTGGAGATAGGTTCAGGGAGTTAGCCCAGGGCAAGCTGGAGCTGCCCATTGCTCCCTTGGTTGCAAATCTCTTGGGATCCCTTAGAGTTTAGGAGATGCATGCCTGTGGGGAAAGAAGAGAGACTCAGGGAAGATATCTCAATAGGATATTCATCAGCTTTTCCAGGTTTTTCTGCTTTTCTAGGCCTGGAGCTGAAATACAACTGAATTAGGTGGGGTTGTTGTCAGGTCACTGAGAAGTTAGAGAAAAGGGGGCCTTGGAGATAGGTTCAGGGGGGCCTAGATGTTATCTCTAGAGAGGAAAGGTCAGGGGTCTAAACTGCATGATCATCAATATGCCAGGGGAGGAAAGACCACCCTGGGGGTGAGGTATGGTGTTAGTTTTGTCTGTTAGGCACCCAGAGCTTTCTGCCCTGGTGACCTTCTATATCTGGCTGTAAATTGCTCAACCAGTTTGTTCAGCTACCTGTCCCAGTTTCCCCATTCCACTTGTCAAGGAATTTCGTAGCTGTTCTGACTCAGAAAGGTCTTGGGTATCCTTGAACATGGGTCAAGAGGGAGGCTGTGAACACTGACACAGCAGAGGAGTCTGCTCTGTCCTCTCCCATTCCTTGGCTTTCTTGATCATTAGTGACTCATGTCCCTTCCCCTGCACTCCCAAGCCTGCCTGAACTCATCCTGATGGAGAGAGAAGACATTCTCCTTCCCAGGTGTGACTCACTTGACCCATGTCCCACATAGAGACCTCCCCACTGGAGATAAGCCTTCTAGGAGAGAGGTCTGGAGAGGGGTTGGTCCAGAGGGGTGGTGGTTAGCTGCTCATTCTTTTCTTCTGACCTTGCCTGTCTGTAGTAGGTAGTTAGGTAGACATGAGCCGAGTAGGAACAGTAAGTTGGGTACAGAAGATCACTAGAATGGAAAGCCCTGGATGCCTAGCAACAGACAATTGTAAGGTGGGACCTCAACCCCTGGGTGACTTTTCCTTCCCTAGCCTATTGCTGGTCATGCAGTTTGGATCCTCCCTGACCTTTCCTCCCCTGGCATGTTGCTAGTCATGCAGTAGACACCCTTAGAGGAGGAACCAAGAGGCTGAAGAAAAGCCTCATGTGATTCCCATATAAGCCGTTGTGTGGCCACTCCCTTAAGCATTAAGTCCTCAAGGCAATGTAGTTCTGACCTGCATCAAATAATCTTAAGAACAAAGCCTCGTGTCTATTGACCACAGAGGCAGCGTTTTCGTCAAACTAGAGATAACATCTAGACCTTAGTTGTGTTTCAGCTCTAGGCCCAGAAAAGCAGCAAGGTCCAGTGGGGCGATGCGATGGTGGACATCAGGACCTGCTGAGATGACTGTGATTCCCTGCCCTGGCACTGACCAATCAGTGGAGACCACCACCCTGAGGGGACACACCTGGAAAGCTGATGAATAGTCTATTGATACTCTCCCCTGTGATCTCCAGATAAAAGCCCTTAAGAGGAAGGACACAGCATGCTCTCTCTTTTTCTCTCTCCTTCTCTCTCTTCCTTACACACCTATGCTTTTCCCCACTCCCTTAATTCCCCAGGTGTGCCCTCCCTGGCACACACTTGTCTTTTCTCCTCTCCTTTCCCCAGCATGTATTCTTTGCCTTTCTCCTAGCTCCAAGGGCCCTTCTTTTGCCTCTGTAACTTGTTTCCTGAACCCAGGCAGCCTGGTTGGCTCACTTCTTTCATGGATCACTTCTACCTCTGTGAGTGCTGGTGTAGAGATAAATAATCAGCCCTTTGACTTGGTCTCCTTGCCCACTGACAAGGGACACTGCTCTTGTACCTCCTGATTTGGGCACCTCATGTACCTGCTGAGGCAGCTGGATGCCACACCTCACCCAGAAGACCACCTCCAACCAAGCCAGATTGTCTCTAAACCTAGGTGTCCACTGGGCCAGTCCCTGGTCTGGTTCATTAGCTCAGGTTGGTAGGGATTGGTTAGGGTACATGGACTGACTCACCTTGTCCCCAAGCTTCTCAAAGACAGATTTTCACCTCCTGGGCTATAAATGATGTGCTGGGGACATGTAGAACCGCAGCACCCATCTCTAGCAGGAACTTTACCTAGGCTGATGGTAAGCAGTTTGTAACATTCTTTTTCATATTAAGACAATACAAATAAGTCAGTCAGAGAAAGACAAGTATCATATGATCTCACTCATATGTGGAATCTAAGTAACAAAATAAACTGATGAACGGAGTGGATCCTGAGACATGGAAGCATGGAACAGAGTGGGATCTCTAAGGGAAGGTGGGGGAGGATGGGTGGGTGGGAAGTAATCAACCAAGAACCTTGTTTGCATATATACATGGCCCATGGCCACAGACCATGGGGTGATGAGGGCCTGGGACAGGGGGCAAGGGCCGGCCGGAGGAGGTCAAAATGGGACAAAAGGGGACATATGTAATACTTTCAACAATAAAGGATTATATTTTTTAAAAAGCACAATACAAAGTCTGCATGAATTTTTAAAAACATTGGGTTTGTGAGAGGCTTTTTAGGCTATGCCCTAACAAGCAGCAAGTTCCAACTCACTGCCCTGTGCAAATGGGATAGAGCAGGATTTTCCAACCTCAGCATGGTGACACTTTGGGTCAGATCATTTTTTGTTGTGGGGGACTATTGCATGCATTATAAGATTAGAAGCATCCCTGGCCTTCAAATGCTATTTGTCATGCTATTTGTTACGTGTGTTATGTACACACATGCAGTGTGACCACCAAAATTGTCTCCAACCATGCCAAACATCCCTTGTGGTGCAAAATCATCCCTGGTTGGGAGCCATAATAATTAAATATTGTCAACAGTGCTTGGGTAAAAAAAATCTCATTTGGTAAAAACCTAACAGAGGCACTAATCCTGCTATACTCCAAAAGACTGATGCAAAGAAAGAATTCAAGTGGTGTTGAACCATGTACTTCATTTCATATAAATGCACTTGCCTTCTTAAAAAAAATAGTATTGTAAAACAACAAACAAAACCCAAACCCAAACCCAAACCAAAATCAAACCTACTTGTCAGCAGCCAGTCACTAACACCCCAGAACTTTGCTTTCCTAACCCAGGAAAGGGACAGTTCATGGTCTTGTGGCTTTAGAAAACAACCCCATTTCTCCTTCCCCAGCTGCAGATCTGAAGTTTTTCTAGACTGTGCTGGATTGGACTCCCTGCTTGAAAGTAATTTTTTTTTCACTTAGCCACCCAATCTTTGATTTCTGAGATTTGATTTTTTTTTTTCTTTAACAAAGGCAGGGTAGCGCACAGAGAAAGGAATGATAAATTTTATCTGTGAGAGTCAGAAATGTTTCCCAGAAGAAGTTACATTTAGGCTGGGACTGGAATGATAACAAAGATTTTTCAGGCTGACAAATGGATTGGGGAATGACCCTCCAGGCTCTGGGGAAGACGTGATCAAAGGAAGAGCTTTGTACAAATACATGACCTGTTTGGGCTGAACCAGGTCATTGGCTCTGGCAACAGAGGAGGTATTTGGTGGGAACTGTGGGGTGATCCCTGGAAAATGAGGTTGAGACAGGCTTATAGGATAATACTGAGGCATTGAGAATTTTCTCCCTGGCCCAAGGGTTGCAAACTCTAATGTCTATAAAGACCACTCAGATACCTTACATGAATGAAAAAGGTAGTTTTTTCTTTCTACAAGGGCACAGTTTTTTTGGGGGGGTGGGGTGGGGGTGAGGAAGGGCTCATAGCATACCTATGGGGATATTCTTCACATCCAAAGAATAAATATTATCTTCACTCATTCCAAGAGTATTGTTTGAGAAACTTCTCTGTGCCAGGCATTGTTCTAGGCACTTGTTATTTGTCTTGAAATGTAGACTTCTAGGGTCATGTTCCCCCCTCCCCACTTTTGCTAGAGACGTGAATAGAATAAAATGTCTCTACTATTAGGAAAAGCTCAGGGCATGGTAACCAGGCAGCAGACTCTCTAAAAAGAGTGGTGGGGATCACTGGGGTGGGGAGGACAATTGGAAAATCTGTGTCTTGTCTAAAAGGACACCTTTGTCTTGGCACCAAATGATTATGCTGAGCATGAGACTGGTGGAGTGATCATTTAAATTTTCTCCCCAGAGAAACTGGGAATATGGAGTTTAAAATGTAATCTCATCAAATTTTCATGTTAACTAAATTAAAAAATTTTTTTTTATTGCCTGGCCGATGGTTGAGCATCACTCTATGAACCAAGAGGTTACGGTTCGATTCGCAGTCATGGCACATGCCCTGTTGCAGGCACAGTCCCCAGTGTGGGGCATGCAGGAGGCAGTCAGTTGATCAATGATTCTCTCACCATTGATGTTTCTATCTCTCTTTACCTCTCCCTGACTGGGAATCAAACTGTGAGCTCCTGGTTCATAGGTTGAAGCTCAGCTACTGAGATACACTGGCCGAGTTACATTAACTCTTCTAATCCTCACGGAAGTGCTGGCACATATTTCACTCTATCTATGTGCTAATATTATGCATTTTCTATGTTGTGGCTACCATGCTGTGGCTTGGGATAGAATGTTCCGTGCTTGTTTAAGAAGGCAGCTTGCCAAAGTATCTCCTCTTTAAAGCAGACTTCACATCTTTATTCCTCAGGCTGTAGATCAGGGGGTTCAGAATAGGGATGATCACAGTGTAGAAGACAGACACGAACTTGTTCTGTTCCATGGAATTGAGGGAGCTTGGCTGAGCATACATGAAGATGATGGTGCCATACCAAAGGCAGACAATGGTGAGGTGGGAGGTACAGGTGGAGAGTGCTTTGCTCTGAGCCTCTGGGGAATGCATTCTGCAGATAGTCACCAGGACGTAGGCATAGGAGACCAGGATGATGGTGATGGTAAAAGAGAAAATCAGGGCAGAAGATGAGAAGACGATGGTTTCAACCTCTGCAGTGTCTGCACAGGCAAGTTGAAGCACTGGAGGAATGTCACAGAAATAGTGGTTAATGACGTTGGGGCCACAGTAGGGCAGTTTGAAGATGTACCCAGTTAGCAAAGCTGAATTGGCAATAGAGGCTGTATAGATGGCTGCCACCATCTGGAAACATAGATGTTGTGACATGATGGTGTGGTAGAGGAGAGGGTGGCAGATGGCAACAAATCGATCATAGGCCATGATGGCCAGGAGCAGACACTCAGCAATACCATGGAGAGTCATGAGGGCCATCTGGGCCACACAGCCTGCAAAGGAGATGTACTGACTTGAGGTGAGGAAGTTCTCCAGCAGCTTGGGGGTGTCCACAGTGGAGAAACAGGAATCCATGAAGGCGAGAATGCTCAGGAAGAAGTACATGGGTGTATGCAGCTGTGGCTCTGTGTGGATCAGGATAATCATGCCCAGGTTGCCCATGAGGGTGACTAAGTAGATGAACAAGAAGAGTACAAAGAGGATGCCCTTGAGCCCTTCCTGCTCTGTGAGCCCCAGCAGGAGGAACCAGGTGACTTGGGTGCAATTCTCAACTGAGGTGCACATGGCACTGCAGAGAGAGCAAATAAGACAAGCTTGTACTTTAGAGCAGGCCTCGGGTCAGTTCCTGCCCCACCCCTCCCTCCTATTTTCTTATAATCCATATTATTATTTTTTAATTGAATTTATTTGAGTGATATGGTTCACAAAAGCAGGTTTCAAGTATACAACTCAATGAAACATCATTGGCACATTGCATTGTGCATCCATCACCTCAAGAAAAGTCTCTTTCCATCCCCATTACCACCTCCCTCCTTTGCCCGCTTCCACCTGCCTTCAATCCCTTTGTCTCTGGCTATCACCCTTTTGATGCCCTCAGAGTGGGCAGTGCTAGGGGAGCTGAGGAGGGGACACCTATTATGAGTCATGTGTTAACTTACTTCCTGACCAATTTATATTTGGAGAGATTATCAACCTGCCCGAGGTAAGAGAGTTAGTACATTAGGAAAGTGGGATTAGAACCTAGTCCATTCTAATAATCATATTCTTTTTACAGTTATAATCCTCTTCCATAGGGAACTAGCATCATTAGTGGGTGTTGTGATCTGGCATGTTGTCCCAGAGAGGGAATTCATGAAAGGCTCAATTTGACCATATTTGGGGACAACGGCTCAGTCCCTGAGCCCAGGGACACAGGAAGTCAAGACTAACATCATCACAATGGAATGTGCCTCACTAGAGCAGTCATTTTCCCCGGTGTTATGAATTGAACTGTTTCTCCCGAAAAGATATGTTGAAGTCCTAACCCCTATACCTGTGAATGTGACCTTATTTGGAAATGCTGTCTTTACAGAAGTAATAGAGTTAAAATGACATCATGCTCAATTAGGTTGGGCCTTTAATCCAATATGACTGGTGAACTTGTAAGTGCAAATGGAGATCAGGGAGGAAGATGACGTGTGAAGATACAGACACAGAGGCAGGTGGCCATGTGAGGAACAGAGGCAGAGATGGAGTTATGAAGGAATGGCTCAGGCAACCAGAACTGGAGAGGCTTCAGAGGGAGCATGGCCCTGCCAACACCTTGAGTTTGGACTTGGAGCCTCCAGAACTGTGAGGGGATAACTTTCTCTTGTTTCAAGCCAGTTTGTGGTGCGTTGTTACCACAGTTGTAAGTATGCAAGTCACTAACACACCCAGTTGGGGATGCTTCGGGCACTGAGACTCTGATGCTTTGATGGGGGCCTGCTAAGCAGATGTCAGAAGACTTGACTTTCCTGGTCTCTCTCTATTGACAGGACTGATAATCCAGGAAGAGAAAATGAAATAAAACAAGTTAAAATAAAGTCTGTGTTATTATTGACTACTAACTGAGAAAAATATTTGTCCAGGGGAACAGGAAGTTATAGTAAACATGAAAACTCCAGCTCAGCAAAATTATAACCAAAGAACTAAGGTCAGTGTTTTAACTGGAAACAACCGAAGGCAGTAGGACATGCCAGATTTGTGGCTTCGGGGTGCAGTACAGGACACAGTTTTCAGTTAGAATTGGAGGAGAGGTCTTTAACCAGAGACCACTAGTCTACCTTCTTAAGCTCCCTAGAGGGGTTCACAGTTTATGAAAGTTCTCTCAGCTGCTGTCATGCTCCCAAGAATTTGTCTCTAGGTTATCAAATAACCAAGATGGCTATTTAAATGGAAAACTCTTATATGGGATACTGGCCAAGGTTCACTCTGATTGGTCAGACACCTGTTATGATTGGTTAAGTGTAGGTTTCAATGGTGTGGACTACTCATGGGGAGTTTAGAGTTTAGAAGGGGAGACAAGCATTAATAATCATACAAATTATAGCTCCAAGTAGAGGGACTGAATGATAGGAGCCAAAAATTTTAACTCAGGGAGGTGAAGGAGAATTTTCTCTAGGAAGAGTTTTCCAGGAGAAATTGAAACAGTCTATACAAGGGTCCTGAGGTCTGAGAGAGCCTAGTGAGGAGGAGGAGCTGAATAAAGGCCAGAGTGGATAGAGGACAAAGGGAGAGAGTGTGTGAGCTGAGGTGAGCAGGCAGTCAGTGTTTTATAACATTTTTTGAGTGCTTGCTGTGTCGGGCACAGTTCCAAATACCTTTAATGTCATTTAATCCTCTCAACAATCTTAGAAGATGTACAATTGAAATCTCCATTTTGCATGTGAGAAAACCAAGTAGTTGAGCATCTTGCCTAAAGACTCAACTGCTAAGTGGCAGAGCTGAGGTTTAAATTCAGGTGGTCAGGTTAGAGATCACACTATTATTGTCCAATACCTTAGACCAGGTTAAGGAATTTTATTTTATTTTATGGAATGCCATTAGAGAATTTTTACCAGGAGGATGACATTGTCATATCTGCTTTTTTTTTTTAAAAAAATCCTCACCTGAGGATATGTTTCTCATCAAGTTTGAGAGAGAGAGAAAGAGAGAGAGAGAGAGAGAGAGAGAGAGAGAGAGAGAGAGAAGTGAGAGAGGAACATCAATTGGTTGCCTCCAATACACACAACCATGGATATGTGTCCTCTCTGGGAATCAAACCCACAACCTTTTGGTGTATGGGATGATGCTCCAACCAACTCAGCCACCCAGCCAGGACAATCATATCTGCTTTTTTTAAATAAAATTACTCTGAGTGTATTGTGAAGAAATAATTGGAGAAAGGTCAATGGTTGGGGGAGATTTGTTGGGAGGATATTGAAGTCATCCAGGAGGGATTCATAGCTTAAACTAGAGTGGGGCTAATAGAGACAGAGGTAACTGGATTTGAGAAATGTTTGGCTGTAAATGTGATAGGATTTGGCGATGGACTGACCATGGCAGCGTGAGGAGAGCAAACAGTCAGAGTAAACTCCAAGGTCTCTGGTGTACAAAATAAAGCTGGTAGTAGAGGCTAAGAGGGAATAGGATGTAGCAGGGAGAGTTTGAGCTGTAAAATACATTAGGTCCCAGGGTAGAGTCCTAAGGAAGTCAATTTCAAACTCACTGCACACTGCGCCATCTCTCTCCCTATTCACCTCGTGCTGGGGCTGGTGATCAGATGTCAAGAGTCTGAGCATGACTTATGAGGAAGAGGGGATAAGGGAGTCTAAGCCCTTACTGGTAATAAGATTCCACCCTCATCCCACTTACCTGTGGTCAAGCAGAGCCCCTCCATCCATAGCCTTGTTTTTGAGGACCTCTTAGAAGTGTTTCTTTCTCCTTTTTATTGATTGCCTCTGACCAGCTTTCTCAAAAGAACTTCTCAAACAGTTGTGAACGAAGCCTAGAGATTCCTAATTGCTCCTGTCTTACGATTCACCTGGCTTTTTTCATCCTTATCCCTAGAGTTCAGAAATGAGCCAGTGGGAATTTGTGACTGTTTCTCCCAAGAGCAGACTTGGACCGGCTGATTATCTCTAAGGGATGCTGGCAAGATTTGGCTGAGGGTTGCTTGGGAGCTCCTGGGGAGCAAAGATGCTCCACCAAATGTTCAGACCCACCCTCTGCATTTACAGTGTCCATCCAGTGGGGGCCTCTTTTTTCCATATTATTGAGACTCAAAAAGGCTCTCAAGGCCAAGATGTATCAGGGACACATGTCAACATAATCCCCGGGTCCCACAGGAAGTGACTGCAAGTGCTAATGATATCAGCATTGAAGGTTTAACGTGGCTTCCGAATTGTTATTTCCTTTGATCTTCAAAATAACCCTGGGAAACATGCTTGAGGGTATTATTTTTTATTTTTGCTATATGTAGACAATAATAGGATTATACCATAATTGCTTTAATTACTTAACAATATCGAAAATACATCTCTTCACCTCAACAGCAACATAATTCTTCCCCCCTACAAAATAGCTTTATTGTCTTTGTAAAAATACTACACGCTGGTTGTCAAAAATTTAAGCAACACAGAAAAGAGCCAAGAAGAAAGTAAAATGTCACCTGAAATCCCACCCCTACAAAAATGGGAACTGGTGACCATTCTTGTTACAAGTCTCTCAATGCCCTCATAAACAGAATCATACTATACAAGCTAGTCTGTCATTTGCTTTTTCACTCAATAAGATGCCGTGGACATTTTTTTATATCAATTAATAAGCAATAGCCTATGTCATTGCATTTCCTGGCTGCATATTGTTTTGTTGTGCATGTGTGTTATCATTTACTTAACCGGTTCCCCCTTGGTTGACAAGAAGATATCTCTAACTTTTCACTCCATGTCTCTGACAGACAACTCCCGGTATGGGGCCTGGAGGACCAATTCCAGTGAGAATGGGGCATAGAGAGACCGCCTTTTTTGACCAGGAAGGAAGAAACTGGCTCTCTTCTTGGCAACCTGGCACCTTGGGTTCCACAATCCCAGGTGAAAGCACCGTGCAAAACAAAGCAAGGCAAAGCAAAGGGCCTTGTTAGGAAAATGACTTGTTTGGGTAAAAGAAATTCAGTCCCTAGACTACTGATCTGGGAGAGAGTCTCAGTAGATGAGAGAAATCACTCATAGTTCCTGCAGGTAAAAGAGGGTTTATTCACCTGGGAGACACCTGATGACTCTCACCTATAGAAGTGAAACAGTGCCTTGAATCCTGTGACCTCCTCCACTGCATTCCAACCTGCATATGTCTGACGCAAGCGCCCCCTTCATTGTGTCAGTCCTCTGCTCATGATGATGCAATAGCCTCCTCCTTTCTGAGCAGAGAAGCCAGATCATTTACACCCACATAACTTAACTACTGGGAGTGAGAGCAGAGACTTCCTACGGCAACATGATTTAACAAATTGTTCCAGGAAGTTCAGGCCTAGGAACATATGACTGTAAACCAATAAATAACTTCACTGTTTGCCTCATGGAATTTCTGCAAGCCAATCTGTCTGATTAAATAGTTGCTCCTCTGTGCAAACAGCTCTCCTATCAGGATAATAGATTACTCACCTGGACAAACTATGTTCTCAGCAAACAATAGTTTGCTTATCAAGATTAACTTTCAGGCTTTTCCCTCTCTGTATCTGGCAAACCTAAACTATAACATCACAAACTTTGTCCAATCCTGATCTGCTC